TAAACATGGAATCAACTGACAGGAAGAATGTTTATCTTACAAAAACAGGTGATAATTCTTTGAATTCTGGTATGAGAGATACAATGATTGTTGGTCAAACAAATATGACTTCAGGTAAAATTTGATTTTATTTTCAAATACAAATACTATATTTGATATACTAAATACTAAATAATGAGTTATGTATTTAAATAAGATTGACATAAAATGTAATTGAATACAGAAGTATTATATGAACTGACAATCATCTATTTAATTAATTATTTAACTCTTAGAATGTGGTGAACCAGTAATGAAACCTGGCAATGTCTCGAATGTTTCAAATAATCAAACAAAATGGTCAAATATGCAAAGTAAAAATTTTATTCTTAATGCAGTACCAGTGAAGAATGAAGTAAGTTTGTATGATATAATGCAAGAAATGTTTTATACGATAGAAGTGTACATATTAATAATTACATGTTATGTTATTAGATTGTACATCTTGAAGATGGGGCACATTGCAATAAAAAAATGCATTACTATGAGAGACATTATGTAAGCCATGATGAAACAGAGAAACCGACACGTAGGGGAACAAAAAGATACAGGGACAAAGATGCGCCTAAGAGAGCATTGTACGTCTATTTACTACTGATTACTATGCTTGATGGTTTATTTATAAGGGTTTTTTCAGGTCTGCATTTTTTTACTTTTGTCAAGAGCTACGTGGTAAAATGAGAGAATTACATCCAGAGATGGGAGTAGGTGACATTGCCAAAGAATTGGGTAAATTATGGATGAGCACAGATCTTCAAACAAAGTCAAAATATATGGCAATAGCAGAAGAAGATAGAGCCAGATATGAAAGAGTAAGCAAATTTTATTAAGTTATTTAACATATTTTAAAAGTATAAGTAAACATTTAACATTTCAATTATTTAGGAAATAATTGCATACAACAAAAGAGTAAAAAATTATGATCCTGAAGAAGTTGGACCTGTGTAAGTCTTGAAAACATGAATGAAACAGCAAAGGACAGTATACTTTGTCCCAAATCAAGCACTCGCCAATTAAAAATATATAACAATTTTACTAATAGTTTAGTATTGTCAATCGTTATATATATATTATGTACACTATTGACATTAACATCTAAAAAAGTTACACTTATTATAAAATTTGGTTGCAATTTTTGGAAATAGCGTTCGATATCAATCATCGTTCTCCATTAATTTCATAATTGGATACTATTTTTATGTGAATAAGGTGTGCTAATATATTTACAAGCGATACCTAATACAAGTAATTAATATTAATATCAATAGTAATAATTATAATGAAAACCATGATGCCGACGATGATAATAATACTATTATTAATAATATTAATCTATATTACTATTAAATATGTTATACAATTGAAGCACAATAGCAAGTAAAAGTCAAGCAGAGTGAGCTTTGTACAGTGCACTTGTCTTGTCTACTTACACTTTATTCATGTTTATAATGACAAAACTAGA